TGGAAGGCTCGTTGTGTGGCCCCTGCCCGTGGTGGATTGTGGGGGGCAAGTGGTGCCGTTGGCGGCCGAGGGAAGGAGAGGACGGCGAAAGCAATGAACAAACGCCTATTCTTTTTTTGTCACTCGCGGCGTGGTTGTTGGTCCGTTGTTTACTTCTTGCTGCTTTGTGCGAGCAGAACAAAATAAAATAAATATTTGTGCGGCGTGTCGATCTCTTTGCCGCGCGCACTATCCTCCGCGACGGGCGGCATGACGGGCGACCGCAGCCGGCGCCTGGCGCACCGCTGGACGGGGATCCGTTGCAAGGCTTTAAGGCGGAGGCGCAGCAGCGTGGCTTGGGATTGTCGTATGGAGACGAAGAGGCGGCCACAACCGAGTCGCAGCCGCTCGTGAAGGGGAATCCCTCTCCTGCAGTTGCTGCTGCTGCAACAAAGGCAGCGGAGGCATGCTCAGCGACGCCAGCAGAGGGTGGTGGCGTGTTGTGCGGCAACTGGGAGGAGCCGCGCCAGCGAGAGGCGGGGAGGACATACGACAGTCAGACGGCCACGCAAGAGGCGAGGGGGAAGCCGCCATCCGAGGCTCTTGAAGAGAAGAAGGGTGGTGCAGCCCCTCAGCGGGAGCAGCAGGAAGTGCAGGAAGGGATCGCTGCAAAAACAAAAGGTGCGCTACGGGTGTGGGACGTGGAAGGAGTATAGGGATGCAAAGAGTGGCCGCCTCTACTACGTCAACACGGAGACCAAGCAACGTACATGGAAGATCAAGGAGACGCCCTTTGCAAACGAGTGATTGATGGCATGCTTGTATATGAGGCCGACGGGGCATCACGCGGCCTACGCTGACGCTCTTGTTTTGGTCACAGTTCCTAGTAATATAAGGGAGCGGAGAGAAAACAACGAAGAGACGGTGTGCGACTTTTGCCTTATTATTATCGTTGTTATTTTACCTCTGTTCCTCATTGGGGGTGCATCGTTTCTTCAGTTGCACCAAAACAGCCACCACGTTGGGGTTTTGGCTTGAGGAAGCGGCGCGCAAAGGAGCGAGCATAAATTGGCGATGCACACCTGCAGCTCCTGGAGCTGTACGTCCGTTGCAGAGGTTTGCTTCGCCTTGCTGTAACTGTGATGCCGACCCTTCACCCTCAAGTGCGTGGGTGCGTCTCCGTCAACATGCATTTTTCTTCATTTTCTCTTCTGTTCCACCGCAAAGCAAAAAAGGCTAGGCGTCGTCCAATCTATTCACAGCAACAACCAATAATGACTACGTGCCGTCTGCTGTGCGCCCTGTTGGTGCTCGCCCTGTGCTGCTGCTTATCCGTGTGCGTGACAGCGAATGGTGATGATTCCGAGACCACAACGACAACCACGACGACAAAGCCACCAACGACGACTACAACCACGACGACAAAGCCACCGACGACGACTACAACCACGACGACAAAGCCGCCAACGACGACTACAACTACGACAGAGGCACCAACTATTACGACGACAGAGGCACCAACTACGACGACCACCCGCGAACCGTCAAGTATTCGCAAAATTGACGGCAGCCTCGGCAGCTCTGCGTGGGTGTGTGCCCCGCTTGTGCTTGCCGTATCCGCGCTGGCGTACACCACTCTGGGCTGAGAAGGTGTGCGTGCCAGCACTCAAAGCCACTGGGACATGTGTGCGTCTCTTGTGATCCGATGTATAAAGTGAGAGTAATTGTGATGATCGTTTTTTGCTTTGTTTGCTTCCGCTGCCCTGCTGTGTGCTCCGCGTTGCTTCCCACCTCCGTCACGTTGCAAGCATCGCGGGCACACTCATATGCATGCGTACTGAAGCTTTGGGCGTTTTTTTCCTTTTAAAAAGTCTTTTCTTTTTTTATTATTGCAACCTTTTTTTTTTCAGGGCGTTGTGCTTTTTTTGCTCTTGTGCTAGTTCCGTCTGCGTCGTGGTGTGTGTGCGCTGCTGCTTCTGCTGGGCTGCTGCCGTTTGTTATTGTGCGTTGGCTGTGTGTGGTGTAGCGGCTGCTTTTCTCTTTGTTCTCTCCCATGCTCTTGCAGGTTGACTTCACAGTGTCGGGCAACTCCACCGTTCTTGATGATGCTGGCCGTGTGTGCTGCGGCCTGTTGACGCTCGCGCTGATGTGCTGCTGCTCGCGTGTTTGTGCGACGGAGTATTTGGTGCTGGTGTAGGCATCGTGGGGATGTGGCGTTCCAACGTGACGCTGCTGTGTTGCCGGC